AAGTGAGGATGGTTCAAGTTGCTTAATACTCTATATCCAAACGTCCAGGATCCGATAAATATGTTATGATTTATTAAATCGCCAGTGGCCAATTTTTATATGTAATAGGACTCCATGCTGTACAATTAAGAAATAATTGGACGAGGAAAATTCCGAGGACTGCCAAAAATTGGACGAGGCCGTGGCCGAGTCCAATTTGGCAGTCAGAGGAATTTTTCGAGTCTAATTATTTCTTAATTGGACAGCATGGAGTCTTATTACCTATTAATTATATAGTCACATATTGATCCCAAATAGGTAAAAGCCAACCACAGCTTTTAACAATAACAGTAATGACACCTTCATTTTAACCTTCACTTTAACTTTTATTTATATCAGTAATATATAAAAACAAAAAACAAAAAAAAAAACAATTGAAAACCTGTCCAATTAATTTCTTAATTGGACAGGAWTCCAAAATKAAYGAAAAATCCAGCTTTTACCTATTTGGGATTAATATGTGGCTATATAATTAACTTAAAAATATGTTTGTGATGTCTTTGACTATTCATCAAACGAGTTCAACGTTACAATGTATGTAGAGCATATGTTAATCGCGTGAATAAAAATACTAGTTTTACTTTCCACGAGTCAATCGCGAAAACTTAAGCTTGATTATTGCTGGCTAATACTAAATAGGTAGCGAAGTTGAGCTGAGTAGATCAGTGTACCTTTACGGCCATGCCGTTTTCAGAAAGGTGTTTTTGTTTTTGTCATTTATTTCTATTTCTGATATCTTGTCTTCGGATTGTATCTCCAAAATCATCTTTCAGACATTAAATGATAAAATTGAACGTCAGCTAGCCCATTTGAGATTTTGATTTTCAGCTTTTGGCTTTTAATTTCGTCTTTATGGTGACCTGCTGACCAATAAGTTCGCTTTACAGAATTCCTTTTTCCACTGACCAAAAATATCGCAGGCTATTCAAAATGGCGGCGTTCGAGKAGGTCGCCGAGGAAAATTTTGTTAGACTACTAGTTTGGAGCGGTGCTTCTCATAAAGAAATCAGTGAAATCTACCGCTCACACTGCGGAGATCTACGGGGTTTGAGTGAGCGTAGTATCACGAAAGATCCGTTCATCGAATAAGTGATGATGATTTGGATGTCATTGTTGGTCAACTTGTTGATCGTTATGGTCATAGTTAYGGCCGAAGAATGATGCAAGGAAGCGTTAGATCAATGCTTGGTATAACAGGAGGAGCTGTGAGCCAAAAACGAATTTCAAGGTCGTTAAAAAGAGTTGCTCCACTAGCCTTTGATGCAWGAACACGGGACACATTGCAAAGGACAAATCCCATTCCATATTATGCACCATACTTTGGTTACAAAGGGCATCTAGACCAAAACGAAAAAGTAGCTCAAAATTTCGGCATGACACATGTATGCTTTACTGATGGATGCTCAAGGTTTATAGTAGCCTCTGTTACTATGCCTATAAAGAATCCTATTCTTATATACGAGTACTTGTTTAGGCCTGCATTACTAAGATATGGATTATTTGACCAAATACGAATGGATCATGGAACAGAATTCTGTCTGTGTGTCTTTGTGCAAGAATTACTGAAAGGATACCGATATGATCAAAGACGAGACCCATGGAAAAAGACTGCGTCTACCAGTAACTATGTAGCTGAACGCATGTGGCCTGAGGTGAACCGAAGGATTAATTACCCTATAAAAAGACAACTTTGTGTGATTGAAGCTCAAGATGATTTAGATTTTACTTGTCCACTTGTTAAATTTTGTGTTTCATGGGTGACCATGTTGGTTGCAAAGGATGCACTTGAGCACTTGATTGATTCATGGAATTATCATCGAATCCCTGGACCAAATGGTTGTGTCCCTATCGAAAACAAAGAACAGACTTCACATACGGTACAGTTAGCACCTGAGCTAATTCCAACAGTTTCTGAGGTAGTACAGATGTATGAA